TAACTGTAAATACAGAACCTTCCCTGGGAGGTCCCCTCACCACGTACAGGAATCCACGTCGAGGGGAATAATAGTTTGTTTAAGAACTCCAGTTTTTTAGTACTACATTAAAAATTACATCAATAAAGATATAATCAAACCCTCATGTACTCTAAAGGACTAGATAAAGAATGTAGTGCTTCAAAATTTAATAGGCCTAATACTAATGTCTTATGACATGTATAATTGTAATCATTCTTCGCCAGTTTGTAAAAGGCGTACACATTTTAACGATCATGAAATGATATTTTTCACTTTGATTTATATTTCAGTCTTCAGAACGGATTTTCGGTTTCACTTCTAAACTAAATACTTTGCATTCAAAGAACGATAGTAGAATGAAAAATATGGTGTTTTTAATTGTTTTTCCGACTTTTAATTAAGATTTTAACTAAGTTTTCTGATCTATCTGTACATGTACATTATAACCATCAGTACCTACTACAAAATAGCTAGAATTCATCAGTTATTTCGTCTAACCATTATCGCAAAAATGCTCAATTCTGAAAGCTGCTAATTAAGGTATGATGCTTTAGCTTTCAAAGTTGTTTAAGTGATTTTGTCAGAATTTCTTTACCACCATAAAAAACTCAAACCATCACGTGAAACTGTTCAGTCTGCTTTAAATAGTGATCAGACAAAGAGCTGAAATGCTTATAAATAAATAACCTAGATTTGGGGCTTTTATAAATGAACAGTACATTTGAGGAAATTTTCTATACTTAATACATCAAGCACTCACACAGGTATGGGGTTACAGAGAGCCTGAGATCTTAGGGTATTTATTGATTGCCAATAATTACACGTACATATTTAATTAAACACACATTTGTACATAGGCAGGTTAAACATTAACAAATACCAACTTCTGAACCATAAAATGTGAAAGGATGTACATGGCAAGACAACTGTTCAAAAATACCACAGTAAGTACTTGGAAAATCACCAAACCAAGCAGCACGCTGGTGCATTATTGTACTTGTATCAGTATTATGGAATGTTAGAAAAAATTATAAAATCACTAAAAGAAAAAAAAACATTTTATAAGTAGAGACAAAAGTTATTAATTTCCAATGCTAAAATGGAAATGAAAAATACAAAATCATTTCAAGTACTAAAAGTATACTAAAGAAAAATACAAAATTATTTCCAATACTAACAGTGGAAATGGAAAATAATAAAATATGTACGAAAATAAAGAATTAAAACATAGTGTCGTTTACAAACATCATAATCACTGACTAGCTTGTCATTACCTCAACATTTACAAATTGTTTTTCCCTTCAAAATGGGAAATTGATAGCAAAGACATGCAACAAAGATTAATGCTGTAGCAAGTGTCAGCAATACTCTCATTAACAGTATGAAGTTAAAACCACAGGGTATGCTGCTTCTTGCAAACACACAAGAATTTTCTAGTCCTAGAAAAGTTTTGTTTTTTTGAAGCATAACATCTTAATATTCAAGCAGCTGATCTCAATATATACAAAATGTAGCAAGGAATAATTAAAAGGAAGGGAAAAGATCTGTTGGTTTCTCTATGCCAGTAACATCTTCTGACCACTGTCCAGGATTGGAAAAATTACAGATGATTATCAGACTTGTCACTGGGTATATGTTTGATTAGTTGGCAGGTACTGCAAGAAAAAGGATGATAACTTATACCCAGGAGTCCCCTTCTTGATCCTCATGAGCTGGAGGCTCCATCTGTTTGAGGTTCTCCCTTGGAAGTATACCATAGTGTGGTTCTTCCATTACCTGTGAAACCTGACAGTTATATATTTACAATGACCAACACATGCAAAATTAATAGTGAAATTAGAATTAATTACTCATAGATGCATATGGTAAAATAAAATTTAATTTAAAAAGAAATAAAAGATTAGTAGCTTATTTCTAATAAATTTGTACCATACAACATGGCTATTTAAATACCTCAGTATAATTTGATAACTTCAGTTGAAAGCACTATAAGCTAACTTACACCTGATTATTACACCTGATAATATATGTTCATAGCATTAGATGGAGTATAATAAATCAGATACAGTGATCAATACAGAAATCAAGAAAATATAGTTTCAAGAAACACCCACCAAGAAAGAATCAGAGGACTAGTTCAGAAGCCTTGGGGTGGAGGCTACAGAGAAACAGAAAAGTGTTTTGATTACACTTTGCTGGTCCTTTTTTTTATAAACATTTTTTAATCTAGTAACAAATCATATGATTTATCAGTGGTTGATTACTTATTTAGTTGATAAGGTGTGCACTATAACTTAAGAGTACATGGTTATCCTCACAAGCATTTATGCTAGTTCTTTATGGTTTTTAAACCAGATGTAACACATTTCATGCTTATCTTGACTAACACTGCCAAAGACGCATTGATTCAATCTCATACTAAATCAGTTATAGTTAAACATCCATCTGCAATGCCATGGTATGTAGTACTAGCAATAGTACATTATGATATAGAACCCATTAGGCTGGAAAAGTAAACACTAAATTGGTGTACCAACTTTGAATGCAGATGCATTTTTATAAACTTTTAGTTTCAAATTCCATAATATTATGATAAATGTAGTTAATAGTCTTAAAGAGTTTGTATTCTTGATTTATCAACTTTTATGGGTTTAAAAACATTTTATAAAATGCAAGTATGATATGCTTTTCTTAAAGCATTTTTTATGAAACTTTGGCTGTTTTGTTGAGTTCTTTAAAGTACATAATTTTGTATGTGATAAAATGAAGTACATATTTAATGTTCTCAGCTGTGGTTAGGAGATTATGAAAGGTAGGAAAAAACAAGATTCAAAATGTGAAAATGACCACTGCAATGATTTTCTTTAACTTAGAAAAATAATGAATGAGTTAATTTTAAGAATATAATAGTTTAGTAAATATTTAGTACCATTCATTCTTGGGTTAAAATAGATTACAAAAATGGACTAATAAATCTTCTAATGCATTAAGGTTCTATAAACTTGTAGCTAATTATGGCTAAGTAGAATGCTCTAATCAAAGATGAGTTGAAACTAAATATGGGTTATTTTCTAAAAAATAAGGTATAAAGCATTTCATGCTTGTGTAAATACACATTAATTAACAAACACATAACAGCTAATATAAAATAAAGAAAACCTTTTGATGTGCAATTTTCTTAAGGCTTCAAAACTTACAAGATTTTTTCAATGATTAACCATACATGGTGGTTATAGAGAATTATTCATATGTAAAGTGATTATATCTTAGAAACTATTAGTTATGTGAGAACAAAATTTTACCAGAGGTACACTGAGAATCACAAAATTTATTCAAATGAATATGGTACAGAGTGTTTCAGAATCATACTATACTATATAGCTAAACAGCTTATCTAGCACAATTATATTCCTTTTTTTCTCCCTATTTCAACAACACAAGATTGGTAAATTATATATAATGTGTGTCAATGTGCAAGAAACTACATGAACCAATATTCAAAGCAGATGATACTCGCAGTAACTTCATTTAGGCATTAGGTCTTGAAGAACAGATTGGCAGTGATGAAAAACATATTGAACATCCGTGACACTTTTTGAAACAACTCTTCAGAATAAAAGTTGTGGTTCTTAATGTGCTTCTGGTGAAATTTAGTTCTGCAAAGGCAAGTATTTTTTAAGATATAACCATTTTAAATATGAAGTGTTTTGTATATATAAGCATCTATAATTAAATGACTGTAACATACATGTAACTAGTACAAATCCCTACAGAAGGACCTAGTTTTATTTAACTGTGAAGAAGATAATAGTGTAACAGAAAATACTGTAAAAAATCTTTTAAGTAATTACACCTATTTTTTAGAGAAATTAAAATGTTTATTTTAAAACTACTATATCTAACATGGTGGAAGTCCTCGAAATTTGCATCTGTTATGTGCATGCATATTTTTAAACACCTGGGTCAGTCACTTATTAGAAAAGTAGGTAACTATGCATTTTCTCAAATTTTAAAAGTACCCATATCAAGGAGTTTGCAATCAAAATTTACCCCTTTTTTATGGCAAAACTGAGAAGAAAAAGTTTTTATCATATTTTTGCAATAGTTCAATACTTCGAAATTATATACTATATTTAGCCTAAAACTATCTCTACTGATATATAATGATCTTGTTGTTCTGATATACATAAAAAAAATTATTCCTTAGGTTCTGAGTGATGACTGTGACAAATTTTGCTATTTAACATTCTTAGAATGTAACACAAAACTACATTCAGTCCCAACTAACTGAAATTTAAAGTACTTTGGGAATACTTGTTTGTTTCACCAGTAGCTGCTATTTTCATCAGGAGAGTAGTCATAAATACTTTCACTTTATGGAGCCTGTTTTCATAAAAGATTCACCACAGCATTTGCATTTATTAATTTTTTACGTTTAATATATTTTGCACCATTTTCTTCTAATATGTAAATAAAGAGCTCAGTTGCTGTCATTGAAACCTACACTGCAACTGTACACAGAGTTAAGAAGTGAAAAATCAGATTGTTCTCATGTTGCACACAATTAAACTTCATCTAGGAGAAAACAGGTGTTCTAAGAAAGTTGTTAGTGAAAACACTTATTTTTTTCTCAATTTTGGGGAGGCAATTAAAAAAAAAAGACCCTCTTTTTCACTAAAATCTCAGGGTTGTGAACCCTTTAAAATTCTAACGCATGTGGTTAACCTACTACTAAATGAGTGACCAACCCAGTTTTGAACACTTTTTTTACAATCCTGTGATTAGAATAAGAGTATGAAGAGATAATAACTCATAAAAAAAAATCAACATACATGCAGCATGCACAGTTATTAGCAGTTTCAAGGACTTACCGGCACTGTGGGAAATATCAAAACACCCCCTACCGGTGGTCTGTGAGGTGGTGGTGGTAATGGTGGCTCCATATCTTCTCGGACATCATTTAGGGGCAGTTCCTCTGACTAAAAGTTTAGAATAAAATTCATGCATGTGTTAGTTGAATTTCATTTTTGATGTTAATAATAATGTGTTTGACATGTAAGTATAATGTGTTCTTAAAACAGCCAAACTTGCAACAAGTAGAAACATGCCACTTAATTGGAAGAAAAGAATGAAAAAGTATTATTAGGGTGTTCTGTTAAGACTTTTTTTATAATAACATATTAATTTTCATAACAAAATACATTACTGACAAATACCTAGTGGTAGCTAATGATAGTTACTGTATCACATCAAAAACACCTCTCAACCTTATCAGCCTATCAAACTGTTTCTAAAAAAAAAAAAACTCACATTAAATGTCCCAAATCTTGGGTGAAATTCGTATATTGAAATGCCAAGTTATCTTATGTAGATTACCTTTCTATAAGGATTGAACAATGTGTTTTCTATGGATTATCCTTGTGTATTAATGTATTTTATAAGGATTATCTTCATATACTAGTGTATTAATATGCTCTTTTAGGATTTAGCTTTGTATACTGATTGATTAATGTGTTTTCTAGTGATGATCTTTATTGTACATTATTGGTAGATTATCTATTGTTTGATTCATTAGTGTGCTTCCAAGGGATTATTTTTATTGTAAATTATTTATTGTCTGATTCATTATTGAATTTTCTAGAGATTATCTTTGTATGACTTATAAACATTTCTAAGGAAATATCTTTGTACTGAATTACCTCTGTACTGATTTATCACTGTTTTCTGGAGACTATCTTTGTATTGATGTATCAGTGGATTATGTTAGTGTTAACTCTTCACTGTATTCACAAAGAACTATCTTACATTTTTACTCATTTATCAGTTTAATTTCCAAGGTATTATATTTTGTAATGAATTATCATATTATTTCCTAGGGATGGTTATTACTGTATTTATTTGTTAAAGAGTATATGAAGTATGTTTTTGTTATAGAGGATTTATAAGTTTTATTTTTTTGTTAAAGTGGAAATAACATGAAAATTATAGATAAATCTAGTTTATTCATGTCTTCATTATAAAAACAATTTTACATTTGTAGAACCTTACCCGACTACGTGGTACACCATCTGAAAAAAGGAATATAAAATAAAAAAATTAACTTTTTGAAAGAAAATGTCCTGGAAAAAATGTATATTCAGATAAGTTGTCTCTGAATTTTGAATCAAAGCAAAACAATTTTTCAATTATTTTTAGTTGTTAAACTCATACTTAAGAAACAAACATAGGTTATGACACAACACAATCATACAAACATTCAGTATTCCATCCAAGGGGTGATTTACTTTTGGGTAGAACAATTAAACATTACAGTCAAGCTACATTAATAACAAAAAAGTTATAATAACATAAGATTAACATATCCACAGACAAAACAAGATGTGATAGACTGCTAAAATATAACTGTGAAACCTATCTACATTGGTACCTTTAGTAAAGTGTTACCTGTGATGGAAGAACTAGCATCTGGACCTCGACGAGGCAGTGTTCTGTCTTCATACTTTGTTGTGCCCTGTGTACTGATTGGTCGTTGAAGTGTGCTGTTGGCACTAGCAGGTGTAGAAGCAGCATTACGAGCAACCATCGTGCGTGTAATAAAATGTGATTCCTTCCAGCCAGCTTTTCTACATACTTCTCGAAGATCTTGGTGTTGCCACATATTGTACAGCAACTTCAACAGACAGTAGTTATTTCTTCAATATTTCCTTTAGTTAATCTACTTCTAGTTTATCTATAATGTTAGCATCTTGTAGCATATAATAACATTTTCTACTTTTCAAACTATGATGCAATTTCAGATTCTAATGTAACCTGTATCATCTAGAACATGACTCAACAGTGTCTATGAACAATAACTCATATTTAGCCTCCCTAACTAATCTAGTTTGTACACAAGCTTTCACCTCAGTAACTTATCCATGCATATCTGTTTCTGGTGGTTACCTACATAACAATGTTCACATACTGACAAAGTAACAGCAAGCAAACTATAAATTTTAAAAACTGGGATCTGACTAACTTGAAAATGTACAGATGTATTATTGTAACTCCTTTAGTTGCATATGTTGAATTATAACCTTTTTAAAGCCTACTTTTTTGTTTAATTTTCTATGTTTGTCCACTCCAATGGCCTGTGCTATTAATTTTATCACACAGGAAGAAAACATGTTTTTTTATTAGTTTTTTATATTTAACATGTTCACTCAATAGAATTTTTATGTGAGCTTGACCACTATGTTTATCTTCTCTGTATATATTATCTACAGCATTCAACTTACCTGTTTGTTTTGAATTTCGCGCAAAGCTACACGAGGGCTATCTGCACTAGCCGTCCCTAATTTAGCAGTGTAAGACTAGAGGGAAGACAACTAGTCATCACCACCCACTGCCAAATCTTGGGCTAGTCTTAGTAGGATTGACTGTCACATTATAACGCCCCCAAGGCTGAAAGGGCAGGAATGTTTGTTGTGTGGGGGATTCGAACCTGTGACCCACATATTGCGAGTCGAGTGCCCTAACCACCTGGCCATGCCAGGCCCCAACTTACCTGTGCTATTAACCCATCAACTATATCTTGCTATATATTTATATATGAATCAGAGCACTCTATTTGTCTGTGCTGTTAGCTCAAACATGACATTTAGCTATATATATATATTAATCAGTGCTCTTGACTTACCTTGCTATGAGCCTAGTCACTGGATATGTTAATCAGAGCACACAACTTACCCGTGGTGTGAAAACCCAACTACTGTTGACCTGTGTATCTTTCAGTGCACTCAGTTTACCTGTGCTATACATGCCACCAGTGCATATAGCTGCAAATATTAATTGATGCACTCACCTAACCTGTACTGTGATACCTAACAGTGTTTAACTATGCATGTTACTCAGTGCACTTGACTTACCTGTGATTGACCCAGTCACGATGTTTAGCAGTCTGTGTTCAAAAGTACACTCAATTAACCTGTGCTGTGACCCAGTTATCGTGTTTAGTTATTTATGTTAATTAGAGCAATCAACATACCTGTGCTGTGAATTTTACCACTCTGGAAGAAAATCTGCCTTTTTGTTTTGTTATGTATGTTAACCGGTCCACTCCACCAGCTTCAAGTAATGACCTAGCAAAGTCACTGTTTTTAATGATCACTTCATTCAGAGTAGCCAACACAGCTGCTATAGTTTCATCCGATGAGCATCCTCCTTCTTGCAGAGGTCCACTACTAGGAAGTTTCTGCACCAAGTCACGCATGGCATACTTCCCTAATACAATAACAAATAAAATTTTTACATTTTTAGAATTAAAATGAATTTCAAATTGATAATTAGCTATGAAATACTAAAAGCCTTTTCTTGTTGAGTTGCTTTCACAAAGTCAACTACCATGTGACTAGGCTCTGAATGTTTTTTATGCAGTGCAGAGCATATGTCAACTCACCCAGAATGCTCTGCTCTCTCACCTGCCATGTGATGTATCGCACATACATCAGAAGAACATATATGTGCCCTACTTTTCCACCATAAGCCAGACTTCTCTGTTTACAGTCATGATGATAAATTATATTCATCCTGGTTTTGGAGATGTGTGTGGCAATGTATTTCACAGGCAAGAATCTGTTTGATATCAATTTTCTTTCTAAAAATTTTAAATACAAATCAAATAGGCTTACCTACGAAATACTAAAAGTCAGAATACCCAAAATGAAATGGAGGAGGGAACCTAAGTGTGAAATAATAAAGGTAATAACCTAGACCACAATAAATGAACTAAGTGGTCAAGCAGAGGTTGAGTTGAAACCACAACCAGAGTGAAGGCCAATGGACTTGATAACTGGGAGAATCAAAGGGAGCAGACCAGTCTCAAGGAAACTGGACCAAAGTGAGAACATCAAGAAAGATATTCTTCTCAGCAGGATATTTCCTTGCCCAGAACACTAATTAATAATAAGTATATATAAATGTGGTTTGAGCAGTAACAATAGAACCTGTGGAGCATGCTCATTTTCAAGTATGGCCACAGGTGGTGGTGTAACAGGTAAATAGGTCTAGATTCTTGGAGGAAGGAATGGTAGTGTCTTATGACGGCCAGCCAAGTCATGAAATCAGTCTAGTCAGAAGAAGAAGAAATATTACTTACATTTAATGGTGTAAGAACATGTTTCATTAAAATCCCATTGTTGTGAGCTTGTTGTGAAATGAAATAACATGATAAGTATAACTTTTAAGGAGCTTAGTGAAGATTTGTCTAGGAAGAATGCATTTTGTAAAAAAAAGCATTTAGAAATTGTACAAAATGTCCAAGAACTGGTTTGAAAATTCCAGGATAATGCAATGGGAAAACTAAAGGTGGTTAAGAAAAACATAAAAGGAAAGATATTGGGTGTTCCCCATCCTGGTTGCAGTTATGAGACATGACATGGAGAATGGGCATCTCATTTCTGATGCCTCTAATGTTATGCAAGGATGTGTATATGGAGGTAGGAAAAGCCCCCTGTTGAAGCATAATCAGCCACTAGATGGCATCCTCTCTCTACTTCCAGAGGTCATCACCCTTTGATGGAGCTCCAAAATATAGAATGGAATTCTGACTAGGATAAATGCAGAAGTAGATGCAACATGTGAGTTCCAACTAGATGTATTTATATATGGAATGTCATATTATAAGGAGAGACTATGATTTTGTTCATTGTTTTATAATGAAACAATTTTTCAACCTCAGACACATTCAAATTATTAACAGGGGTGTTGGACAGTATAGAAATATCTGATTTGCCATAAACATCATAGGTGTAGGCTCAACAATTAAATAAACAGTTAATAGCCAAGTAACTAATCTCTGAGGTATTTTATTTGGCAAAAGGAATATTGACGTTGAAGAAACAGTCATCTAATGCAAATAAATTTTAAAAATGTATTAGGATTCATACACATGCTGGCCTATGAGGCACCCAGTAAGGGTACTGTGATTTTGGTGCTAAAGACATCTCTGAATGGCACATTTGATTAGATGTAACTCAAAATTCACATTTAAGATGTCAAGGAATATCACAGTAAATAAGACAGATTAATAACACAACCCAATCTATTAATGTAGCCAGAACAAGATCCAAGAAGAGTGATTGCATTTATGGTATAAATAACCTCTGATGAGCCTTTGTGAAAGATCCAGAACAAGTGAGATAACAACAAATAGTCTTGACTGGACCTAAGAAACGTTTCTTTCAAACCAAGAATCAGGATCAGACAGGGAAGGTAGCACAATATTAAAAAAAACAATGGTTACCTTCTCTGGGTACAAGTATAACGTCTACCTAGAAAACAAAGCAATAAAACATCAAAGGCAGAGCTACAGAATGTCTTCTACCTGATGCAAGCAATAAAAAAAAGTATATTTTGGTGGAGAGATGACAGAGCAAAACAAGTTGTTAATGGTTCAAAGAGATAAAAAAGCCAAGAAATGAAGCCCAAGTTCCCATTTGGACAGTGCCTAATAACTTGGAGTTATTGAAGATCAATGGGCTCGGAGGAGATCTTTAGAAAATGAAGACAAAAGAAATTAGTGGTTTCTGTGGCACCTAAAGTAGCAGAAAAGGTAACACTGAAACCAGCTGTTGAAGAAGCTGAAAGGCAACAATCATGAAAGAAAAACGTGAAGAAAGAAATAATATGCAAGTTGGAGATATCATGCCTAATGCATTAGCTCTGGAAGGTAGCCCGACATGATTGATAGATTGCAAGGGTAGAGTGTCACCAAAAGTGGGCTAATGTCTGAGGCATTCCAAAATAGAAAATTCAGTTTCTCAGATGAAGGATCTAACAACAGCCATCTGTGAAGCCATAGATGTTGAATGTCAGTGTGAAAAAAAAGAGACATTCAAGGATATTGAAGATATTCCCAAAGTAGTAGTTGGACTGGTTCCCCATTAAAAAGTTTACATAATATTGAAAATCATGATTTAGCTGGCCAAAGTGAAGCAATGAGGAGAATCCAGCACTTCACATAACTGATTTCAATGAGTATCAGAAGAAGGTGGAGAAGTAGGTAAGCATGAAGAAAGAGGTTCTTCAAAGATTGAGTTAGAGCATCCACCACTAAAGAATTAGGATTTAGAAGTAGATACTAGTAGAGTGGATAAAAATGGTTGTCTGACATTGTGAAGGCATCAGTCATTGGAAGATACAGATGTTTATACAACCACTAAAACATCAAATGGTGGAGAGTTCACTCTGGAAGGAAAATCCAGCACTTCCAAGAAATAGTCTCTACCAAAAAAAGCTGAGAAAATGCAGCAATACAAAGGCAGTGAATGTTAGATATACATGGCTGTTTAAGTTAATGCATGTGTTATGATTCATATGGGTTAAGTATAGCATGAGTGTTAAATTTAGTTATTTTTACACGCAATAGTATATCACAGATTTGTTTACATAACTGTGTGAATCATATGTTTTGTAGTTCAATCACTGTGAAATGGCGCTTGTTGTATTATTGAGTCATGTTAGTAGAACCTCCTAAGTGTTCTCCTTTTTCCTGATTGAGTATTATTGTATCATAATATTTTGGAGTGTATAGATCATTCTAGGCCTTGGTCAGGCTATAAATATGCAAAATGTAGTTTGAATTATATAGTTAGTTAGTTAGATAGATATATAGATCTAGACTGCATGATTGTGAGTTTAGCCATAAAGAGTGTATAGTGGCAATTTTCAAAGTGAAATTATCACAGATTGTATTGTAATGACAGAGTACAGAAGAATAAATTGTGTTCTAAAATAATTGAACCAGCCTGTGTGGACTTTGATGAAAAAAAAAGACAATCATTTAAAGCTCTGAATTTAATTCTGATAGCCAACAGTGTAATGAACATTTGTATATACATTTGACTTGTTTTAATATATTATTTTAAAACAAGTGGACTGTGTGCCGTTTGTTTATTGTTGAAATTTATCACCAACAAGTCACAGACACATACTGTAAAGAATCTGGCCCATAGATATACATTAAAACCTGACATTGGTGAGCCAGCCAGAATTATACAAAGGTAAATGGTGGTAGAAGAAGAGCCTATATACAGCGTAAGAAGGCCTATATACACACATAACTGTATTGGTGGTAAAATATTGTAGAGATTACAACCATGCTATACAACCATACTGACTCTGATAAGCGGATAGAAAGAGGCAAGAAACTAGGGCTTATAGATGGTGATCTACAAGAGTTTGTTAAACAACAACAAGACCTAGATAGAGAAGAGCAGTAACAGAAGAGAGGAAGAAAGAATAAGAATATAAACTGATAATGAAAAAATGAGAGAAAGAGACAATAAGAGTACAAAAATAGAAAGAAGAAAATGAGAAAAAGGAGAGACTGGAAAATTGGAGAGAAAGAATAAGAGCACAAACTGAGATCACCAAGCTCACCCAACACAAAGATATTAGACCCAAGAATGGCGATGGGGCCAGGTCCAGCTAATCCAAGTTGCCCAAATTTGATAAATGGAAATACAACATGGATGCTTTCCTAGAAATATGAAAGATTTGCCCAAAATCAGAATTGGTAGAAAGGTGACTACCGGAAAAGGCCTACAAGTGTATGTATGCATGACATCAGAAGGTGCCATGGACTATAACAAGTTAAAAGTGGTCTTGCTGAAACTCTGTGGAGATACCAAGGAAGGTTCACACTGGAAGTTCAGAGAAATTAAACCTGACACTGGAAAAACTGTATTTCAGTTTGTTTGTTTTGAATTTTGGACAAAGCTACATGAAGACAATCTGCACTAGCCATCCCTAATTTAGCAGTGTAAGACTAGAGGAAAGGCAGCTAGTCATCACCACCCACTGCCAACTCTTGGGCTACTCTTTTACCAATGAATAGTGGGATTGACCATCACATTATAACACTGAAAGGGCGAGCATGTTTGGTGTGATGGGGATTCGAACTAGTGACCCTCAGATTGCGAGTCGAGTGTCCTAACCACCTGGCCATGCCAGGCCTATTTCAGTTTGTAGTACGTCTATGGTGATACTTCACAAGATAGACTGGCATGGCCATATGTGAAGACAATTTTGAAGGACTGGCAGATCTAGTAATACGTGGAGAAAAGGTGCTATGGTTGTTATAAAATGGGGCACATTGAGAGTGGGTGCAAATCTGTCCACAACAAACAACTGAAGAAATCTCAAGATAAAGCACCTAGAAAGATGTTGGTGGCAAGAAACAAGAATAGAGTGACTGTCACCATGGATGCTGCTGTTAGAAA